CCCCTGGGGGGCGCCAGTGCTGATAGTCCAGGTTTCCCAGCCTCACTTGCCGTCTCCTGTCAGTCAAGAAGTCTGTGATCCACTGACAGGTGGAGGCTGGCACAGTGAGCTGGGTGAGTTTGGAGCTGAGGATGTCCGGGATGATGGTGTTGAACGCCTAGCTGAAGTCAACAAACAGGATCCTTGCATGTGTCCCTGGAGAGTCGAGGTGTTGCAGGATGTGATGCAGACCCAAGTTGACAGCATCATCCACTGACCTGTTAGCCCTGTAGGCAAACTGCAGGGGGTCCAGCAGGGGGCCTGTAATGTCCTTCAGGTGGGCCAACACCAGTCTTTCAAAGGACTTCATGACTACAGATGTCAGGGCGACAGGCCTGTAGTCATTTAGTCCAGAGATGGAGGGTTTTTTGGGGACTGGGATGATTGTGGAGTGTTTGAAGCAGGAGGGAACTTCACACAGATCCAGTGATCTGTTGAAGATCTGTGTGAAGATGGGGGCCAGCTGGTCAGCACAGATTTTCAGGCAGGATGGGGAGACACTGTCGGGGCCAGGAGCCTTCCTGATCTTCTGCCTCTGAAAGAGCTGCCGCACATCCTCTTCAAAGGGAGTACAGTGCAAAAACCCCGCTGTCTCAGTTTAACCAGTGCGCCAGCTCACCTTCCCCTTCCTGTTTCCGAAGGATCCCAAACAGAGGTGCCGCTCCTTCAACTAATAACTCCGGGAAAGTTCCAGGTTCGATCAGGAGCGGTGTAATAGTGTTAGCAGTTGAAAGTCCGATGTTTAAGAGCTCTTCTCTGGTAAAAGTTACCAGAGAGGGACAGCAGAAAACAGAGTTAATAAACAAAAACACAAAAAGCACTGCGGAGCATAATCCAGAGGCTGCCATCTTGCGCGGTGCCAGAGAGAAATTTATATATTATCTGTGAGCAAGTCTCCCAAGGCCCTCCTGGCTTCATCAAGCTGAGTTAGATCATTTGTAGATAGTTGGCTTTTATGTCTCTGTTCCAATCGTTGGCTTCCCGAAGTCTTGTCTTAGCTGACTAATCTTTCCCCTCAAAACTAGTGATGTCCCGCTCGTGTCATTGAAGTGAAGGTACTGAGCCAATTCTGCCTTTATATGATCCTTAAATGCATCATCATTTAGGAGTGAGACCTTTAAGTGCCATAGGCGTGGGCTAGAACACCTACCCAGATCAAACTAACTGGGGCATGGTCACTTACGGTTATGTTATGTATTTTACAATCCAGTACTCTGTGAGAGTCAGTTTTAGTGACAAAGAAATAATCAATGCTGGAGTATGAGGAGTGTGGATTTGAATAGAATGTTTAATCCTGGCCCTTTGGGTGTATGTGTCTCCATGCATCAAGGAGACCTAGATCCTCCGTCATTTGCTTTAGAATCCTACTGGCCCCTGAAGGCATGGCAATTGATTGTGGGTTTTTATCCATACTATTTGACAGAATGCCTCCAATCAAAATGATTCCTTCAGTTTTTTCTACAATCATTTGACAAATTTTCTTAAAGAATGTAGGATTGCTTTCATTTGGAGCATAGATATTCAGCATGGAGACACACCACAAACACCACCACAGATAAACCTCTATCTGTAATTTCTGAGTGTAAGCGAAACTGTAGCGAGCTATGCAACAATATTGCCACCCCGCGCCTTCTATGAGATGAAAAATTCTCTTAAGTTTCGTATGTTCAGAGTCTGATAGGTGGCTTTCTTGTATAAAGGCTATTGTACATTTATGATGTTTAAGCTCATTGAAGATCTTTTTCCTCTTTACAGGGCTATGTAGGCCCTTAACGTTATAGCTAATTACTTTTATGCTATCCATTAACACTTTGCGTAGCAAACTTGAGCGCGCACTCTGTTCACGTTCTACAAACTCAGCTCAGACAGCTGCAGGGAAGCTTCAACTCATCTTATCAAATGAAACAGTCCCTTAACTCATGGTTTCAATGGTAAACCACCACAACAATAACAATTACCTACAAAAAACATATTCTAAGCAGACACATTTTAACAATACATCAATCATAAAGTAACATTTGTATTTTAAACAATTGGGAAACTTATTAGCAAATTTGAACAAAACTCCCTTCCCAACAATGCATAATGGGGAGTCTGAGGGGCGGACTTAGGGTTTGAAGCCTTCCATAGCTTACGTTTAGTTCCGTCCTCTGTTGGCTTCAACTTCCACTGGAAGCCCCTCAGCATTCAGCAGCAGGGTGTGCAGCCTGCACAACGTTAATAACTTGTTATTTGTCCTTTTGTGATTCTACTTTCTTCTTCACTGTGGCCCGCATTAGTTTGCTCATCCCACAAGGAGCATTTCAGAATAAGAGCGTTTTGCCTGTGTGATTTTGCTGACATGTTTAGATTATGTTGATTTGGTGTTTAGTGCTGGCTTTATGTACTTCTACTATGATTAATTAGGCTATCTAGTTAAATTGTTTCTGTTTTAACTGTGTTTATTGTTGACATACGATCAGGAGTCTGTACAGGGTATTTTACTTTGAAAATTGACCGGATTCTCACTGTTTTATGTCTGACTTCCTGCCCGGTTCATCTACTCAGTGCTGCTTGACAGATGCCACGCAAAAATACACTGGTTTCTTCTCTCTGGAGCAGAGCAGGAGACACTTCTGGGATGCCCCGCAGTGCTTCTGGTGTGAGCACAGACTAGAATGGCTGTCATCCGCTCCGGCAGCCGCGATGCAGACACACTCAGTGAGTCCGGGGGTCATGTAAACTTGGTATTAAATGACTTGGTAGCAGGTGGGCACTGTGATGAAGCTCCACCCTCATCTTGAAAACTTAAGTGTTCACATACGCTACTTTAATGGTCAGTCCCAAAAGTCAGTAGATGAACACGGCAAAGACTATACCTGGTTTGGTACCTGGATTTGTCCCATAGACCAGGGGTTTTCAAAGTGTGAGGCGGGCCTCCCTAGGGGGGCTCCAAACAGTTTCAGGGGAGGCTCAGGGAATGGAAATGAAACAATATTACATTACTTATTGCATTAGTTATCTAAAGGAGATCACATAGAATAGCATATATGTGTGAGAGTTCAGAGCTACAGTAGGTTTCCCCCCATCAGAGTCAGAAACTAATAAATGGCTTAGGACAGACCTTTATTAAAACTACTTGGTGCAGTCAGAAGTTATGTCAAACAGCAATAGTAGGCATTTCCCAAGCTTTGTCTGAGGAGAGGCCCGCAGTCACTTTGAAAACCCCTGCCTGTATATAAATCCCCTAACTGTATATTCAATTCAATTCTATTTATATAGCGCCAAATCACAAAAACAGTTATCTCACAGCGCTTTCCTAAAAGAGCAGGTCTAGACCATACTCTATACTGTAATGTACTATACAGTATATAAAAAGGTTAGTCCGCAAAAAGTAGTAGTTTGGTGTTTGTGTGAACAAGGTGGCCTGGGGCCGAGTCAAATTCCCGGCCTGAATTCTTGTGTCAGTCCGCCCCTGCTGGTGTGTAATACCTTTTTGTATGTATTAATTAAGTTATAATTGCGAGGTGTTCAAAAATCCTCTGTTGGGAGTAGCCCTTGAACCTCCCAGGTCATTTTCTTTTGTATTGGGTGGCCAGGTGTCAGTTTTGTTTATAATCCAATCAGTGCCAATCAGAAAGCAGTTTTGCAGCCTACCGGGTTTTGAGGGGGCGGACTAAAAGGGAAAATTGGAAAAGAAACACAGACGGAAAAAAAGACAAAGCTGAGGAAAGAACAGCGACATGCAAGCCAAAGTTGTTAGTTGCTGTAAATACATCCCAAGTTTAAATTCTAGTAACCCCTCACCAATTCATTCCCCATGCACATGATAAATCCAAAAAAAAAAGTGGAATTGAGTGGGAGGGCTACATAACATATTTTTAAAAGGCAATTATTTAGTAATGAAAATAACCAATACGATTATAGATGAAAACAGAACCAATAAATGTATCAATAAAATCCTCACAATATAAAATAAATACAATATAAATGGCAGCAGGTAAAGACAAAGTTTATCACTCTTCGTTAACAAGTGGGATGTATCTCTAATTAATAATTAATTTACTATTTATAAAGATTAAACATGACAATTCATTTTAATCTTGTTATTTTAAACAAAGTTTTGTGTTGGAGTTATTTTACATTTTGACACCCAGATTAAATGTATATTGGTTCCAAATATCGGTCATCGGTCTAATTGGTTACTAATAATCAGTATCGGGATCGTCCCGGAAAAAAACATATCAGTCGATCTATTGTGTTTGTATTATTTTTGCCTTGTCTGCTCTGTGTTTCTGTGTCTTGTGTTCAGTCTACTTGTTTCCTGTTCCCTGTTCTGTCTAGTTTAGTTGGTTACCTCTGCCTGTTTTATTGTAATGTTATTCATGGTCTGTGTCTGCTTGTGGTTTGTTTACTCATAATTCTGATCTGTTCCGTTCAGTTTCAAGGTTTGTCTTGTCGTTCTGTTTGCCCTATTTTAGTTGGCCTCATTGTATTCGGTTGTTTCAGTTTTGTAACTTGTTTGTGTTCTGGCTGTAAGTTCTGTCTTCATGTATCTCACCTGTATATTCCCTCCCAGCTCGTTAACCCTGTGTATATATTACACTCTGTTTCTCAATCTTGTTGGTTCTATGTACCTTGTAGTGCTCTATCGCCTGTCACTGCCTCATGTTCCTGCCTACCTTGCTGTTTTGTATTATTATTTGGACTCAACCATTGCTTGTAAGGAAGCTTACCTTTGTTTAATTTAATCACTGAACTAAACCTGCCTGTATCCGTGTCCTGCATTTGGGTCCTCACAACCACACAACCACACCCACACAAATACATTCTGATGTCTGTATTTGCTACACACTTGTATGCTTTTAAGCTCATACTTTAACATTTAATAGATCTGAGTGAGTTAGTGTGTGTGTGTGTGTGTGTGTGTGTGTGTGTGTGTGTGTGTGTGTGTGTGTGTGTGTGTAGTCCCTGGAACTCACCAGCAAGCTGTCCTCCAGTCATAGGCACCACTCGGTACGGTGACCTTCAAAACAACAGGACACATACACTGGTTAGTTTGGAGAGTAGAGATGCTGTGAAGCTGAAATAAATTCCACATTGATCAATGTTGATCTGCAACTTTACCTTAGTTTTATTTCTTGGTTTGTAGCTCAAATCAGTTTATTAAGGTTCTTCTGATTTATTTGATTTAGTCTTGTTTTGCTTATTCAAGTGGGAAGACAGACAAACATGCTCACACACACACTGTTTACAAGGAAGATTACTCTCAGATGATGATCATCAAATAATAGGTGTCAGATTTAACCTTACAATAGCAAACATTCACACACACACACACACACACACACACACACACATCAAGCTTGACAAAGCATGTTTTAGATACTAAGAATAACTGATGGTCAGTCCACCTTTATGTTTTGGTATAAGTGGACAATTTGAATGAACTGGACTGCTGATGTCTCATTGAAGGTCACTGTGATCTACCAAACAGCATGTCCCTACCAATATCCAGTGACTAATTAATTAAAAATTACGGTTTTTAACAGCTCTCATTCTCTACTATGAGTCCATTTTAAAGTTTTTCACTAGCAAGGATCACACAATCAACAGGTACGATTAAGTGATTTATTGATGATCGACACAAAGATGTACGAGGCTTGCAGTTGCTGAATAGACATTAGAGGTGTTGTGGGGAAGCTACGATAGGGAAATCCGGCATAGCACCCGGGCACGACGGACCCCCAAAAGGTTCTAGTTACGTGAGAGCATTGGCTGATCTGAGGTCTTTGAGATCTGAATGAGTGTGATGATGGTACGTTTGGGAGGATCAGCGGCGCATGATATGTATTGGGAATGATGTTGGAGGCTGAAAGGGTAGCAATAGTTCAAGAGGGTCTTGCAAGGGTTCAGGGTCATTGGACTCCGGAGAAAAGATGGTTTCTTTAGTAGAACGCGGTGTTGTTTGGGGAATGAGTCTGAATTGCAAGTATGACGCCGAAGGTTGAGACGAGGGGAGATGCAGGGAGATGAAACACGAGTGGGTGTGAACGTAGCTTCTAAGGTTCGGGACGACTAAGTGATGCGATTACGTTGTACTAGTTGTGACGTGGCGGGAGGTCTTCAAGCTGGCCTCTAGCACGAGAGAGAGCTATGCTGTAAATGTTAAGCTTTTGGCGACCATTCCGCTGCGAACCATCTATCCTTATAGAACCCCCAAACCGTGGACTGGGAGCGAGCAGAGGTAGTCTTTGGCATCCTGGTGCCGAAAGCCCCTTCTAATTGTAACAACTGTTCCCTCGATGTCTATGAAGATTCTTAGTCATCCAGGTCATAGTTATCCAACGAAGGTTAAAATGAAGGGCAACTGGACTTGGTTGAAGGTACTGGAAGACGTTTCGTCCCTTATCCAAAGGACTTCTTCAGTTCTGACTGACTGGCAGGGAAACTCAGCTATATAACCTCAGTGGGGTCGTTATCCCGGGTCATCGATACCGCTGGTTCGTTAGTGTTCCTTGTTGCTGTGACGACAGTCGTTACAGTCGTTAAGACTACCTGTGGCCAAGACTGAACGACCATCGTACACCAGGGTTGAGAAGCCGTCATTGAACAGGGGAGGGGGTCTACGCCACCACTTATCCCCCACTTACAATGCTGTCCTTTCATCACTTCCCAGGAAACTCAATAAACATAACCTATTGGCCTCAGGTGAAGATACCAACGATGGTCGTTCAGTCTTGGCCACAGGTAGTCTTAACGACTGTAACGACTGTCGTCACAGCAACAAGGAACACTAACGAACCAGCGGTATCGATGACCCGGGATAACGACCCCACTGAGGTTAAATAGCTGAGTTTCCCTGCCAGTCAGTCAGAACTGAAGAAGTCCTTTGGATAAGGGACGAAACGTCTTCCAGTAGCTTCAACCAAGTCCAGTTGCCCTTCATTTTAACCTTCGTTGGATAACTGTTCCCTCGAAACGACTTTAGTGTGAAACTTCTGGTCGCCTGACCAGTGGCACAGTCGGGTTGGCAATGACAGGGAATGAGCCGCGGGGGCGGGTCATCACGGCTTCCAGGTGTCGAAGGCCCCTTTTAGTTCGAACAACTGTTGACTCAAAATGATTTTAGCTCAAAACGACTGTCGAAAGTCTGTTTGCTTGAACGACTTAGTGTAAGAGACTGCTCGCTCTAATTTTAAGCTCGAAACGGCTTTCGCACTTTAACGCTTAGTTTGAAAACTTGTTAGCTTGAAAGACTGTTCACTCGAATGATTTTGGATTGAATGAAATGACTATTGGCTCGTGATAGCTAGAAAAGCTGTTAGTTTGATGTTCGCTCGAAACAACTATGCTTGAAGCGACTGAGTGTTTGAAGCGACTTTAGCGTGAAGTGACTTAACGCGATGTGAGTGACTTAGCTTGGACGACTGTTAGCATGACCTTAGCTCAAAATGACGTTACCTCAATGTGAGCTTGAAGCGAGCGAGTTCAAAGCGACTGAGCTCAAAACAACTTTGGTTTACAATGACTTGATCGTTGGAATGACTGTTAGTCCAATGTTTGCTCGAAACGACTGTATTTACATTTATTCATTTAGCTGACGCTTTTATCCAAAGCGACTTACAATGGGTTGTATACTCGATGTGAGCTTGAACCGACTAAGAGGTTGAAGTGACTGGGAGTTCAAGCGGCTGATAGCTTGAAGCTACTTTAATGCAAAAGGCTGTAACGCGAAACGACTTGGACATTGAAAATGACTGGTGAGTTCGTCGAAATAATCCATCATCTGATGGTGATTTCCGACACTTCTCAAAGAGGTAAGTGAATGGATGGAGTAGCTTATGATGATTGTGAGCTGGATGTTAGCTGAAACGATTGTTGGCTCTAAACTATTTTGGTTTAACGACAGTTGGGTTGAAGGACTGTTCGACGTTCGCTCGAGGCGACTGTTAGCTCAACGTTTTCTCGAAAACGACTTACCTTGAAGACGACTTAACTAGAAACTACTGTTTGCTTGAAATGATTATACCGATTTAGGTAAAGACTCAAAATGCCTTTGCTAAAAAAAAAAGCTGTAGGGTCGAAGTGACTTTTAGCTGAATGTTATTTAGAGCTGACTGTGAGCTCGAACGACTGTTTGCGTTAGTTTGAAACAACGGAGCTTGGAGAGACTGAGCTTGAGACGACTGTTAGCCGGATTCTAGCTCGAGATGGATGTTAGCTTGAAAGGACTGTTAGCCGCATGTTAGTTAGAGACGACTGTGAGCTCGAGACAACAGAGTCTGACGATAGCGCGAAATGACTGAGAGCCGGATGTTAGCTTGAAAAGACGGAGCTTGAAGTGAATGTTGGCTCGGGACAACTGTTAGCCGGATGTTAGCTCGAGACAACTGACCTCGAAACGACTGAGAGCCGGACGTTAGCACGAAACGACTGAGAGCCGGAGAGCCAGATGTTAGTGCAAAACGACTGAGAGCCGGACGTTGGCTCGCAAGCGACTGTGAGTCCCTACTAACGCCCTCTGCTGAGGTTAGTGGTAGGGTGCGGCAGGGGGTGCATCTCTGTGCCAAACCCCTGCTGCAGGCAGCTGATGTGGCTGCTTGGTGTAATTGTTCTCTGTTACTGTGGTTGGCTGAGGGTGGGCGGCTGGGGGCCCTGGCATCCCGGTGCCCAGTGGCCTGGCTGATGGTAGGTGGCCGGGGACACTAGTATCCCGGTGCCCCGGCTGGAGCCGGTTGCTGAAATCACTGCTGTGGTTCCTAGAGGTGTATGACTGGAGGTGATTGCATCTCGGTGCCGGGAGCCCCTACTGGGACTGGCTGCTGTATAATGTAAGCTGCTGGTGCTGTAAGCACTGATGCGAGGTGGATGCTCCAGAATTCAGTTGTTGGAATCCCGCTTCCTGTGGTACAGATGTTTACTATCTTGAGCTGGCGGAAATATGTGAACTGTCCCTTTAACAGTGGCGCTGACGTCATGGCGTGCTTAATGGGTCACCCGGAAGGGAGCTGGTGTTGACGGAAATGTGGGCATGCCATGCGGACATTATAGCGTTGAAAAGTTTGTTGTATTGTCTTATCTGTCAACGGGATTCTTTCATCTTCGACAGTTTTCTAAAGAGTGACTATAGTCTGTTTCGAAATCGTTTCTAAAGACTGTTCGACTGTGATCGGCTGTGAGGCGGAGGATTCGCGGGTGAAATGTTCCTGATTGTTGAGATGAAGCGGACCATGGAAGAGATGGAGTTAAGCTGGACTCGCCCACTTCCTGGCCGGCTTTACGATTGTGGAAACGGGGTCTCAGCATGGAGACGGAAGAGAAGAATTCGTCTTCTGGTGCAGGGTCTGCTGTCGTGGACATTGAAAATGACTGTGGTGAGTTCGTCGAAATAATCCATCATCTGATGGTGATTTCCGACACTTCTCAAAGAGGTAAGTGAATGGATGGAGTAGCTTGTGATGATTCATCGTATGGTATAGCAGCGTTAACGTAGCGTGCTCGATAACCTGTTGGTTGGTCTGAGTTCGGGTGGGGAATGCGAGAGCCGTGCAGGATGAGAGCAAAGAAGGGGAGTCAGGACGTGTGGGTATTTATGGAAATGCTGGCGATGACGTGGTTGGTCCCGCTCCTGAAACTCTGCTAATTAGCACCACCAAAAGATTACGCCCCCATGCCATATGCCTCACAGAGATCTGCTGCCTACCGTTTTCAGACCCTCAACAACTTAATTTCTAAAACGCGACTAGTAACAAATCTAGTGAGTTATTCAGACCATCAGGGGTAAGTGAGAAAACTCTTACTATTCTGTAAGCTAATTTACTCTCCTGCATATTGTTCAGAGAAATCTCAGCCAGCGTCTCTAACTCTCTTCTCGCACTGTGCGCATGCAGGCAGGAATGGGTTGCTATGGTTACAAAGATGCTGTTTGTCTCATCTTTGTAACCATAGTCTCTGAGGCCCATTCCACACTATTGCTACGTTTGCACCTCCCGTCCAAACTAAAACGGCGAAAGGAAGACCTAA